AAATACAGTAGAGCCTCGATTATCCGACTCAATTGGGGACTGGGGTTGGTCGGATAATTGAAAAGTCGGATAACCGAAAAGTATGAAAAAATCCATTATTAGTGTAGTATATTATTATATCCCATGTAATTAGTATATTATTGATATTTATTTATATATCAATATATGAAGCATGCAATGCCATAATGTCCGATATCCCTGTTATTATGTGAACTAGTATTACAACGATTAGAAAGTAACGTACTGCCTGTCTTTATAAATGACATACTTGTATATGCAAGATACATTGATGATGTTTTCATCATTTGGAGGAATAGTAATAGTGATCAATATTTCCTTAACAAAATGAATAACAACCCATATGGTGTGACTTTATCAATGGAACAGAAAAGTGACATTAACATAAAATTTCTGGATCTGTCCATAACTTGTAAATTTGGGAAAATTTGGACAGATGTTTATCGAAAGCCTAGCTATCTACCTATTATTATACCGAAGGATTCCTTTGATCCTTGGAATTTTAAGAATGCAGCCTTTCGATCATGGATAAAGAGAGCCTATACCCACTGTACAAATATGTTTGACACACATAGAGAATTAAATTACATACATACAATAGCTGTACAACAGGGATATCGTATAAGTGAAATTAATGCTCTTATTGCTAAATTTTGTAATCAAACAAATAAGCAACCTACGACTAAGAACCAAGGACGAAGAATAGTTCTCAGCTATATACCTTTCCTACAATCAATGATTAAAAAAGTATCTCACAAGAATAATTTAAGAGTTATTTATCGTCATAATCCTACGGTTTATAGAATTTTACGAAATGATAAAAAGAAAAGAAACCGTAACAATAGTACAGGAGTTTATTCTATTCCTTTAAGTGACCGCCATTTTAATTCAGATCTTGTTTACGTTGGTGACACTATGAGACTTTTAAAACAGAGGCTTAAAGAACATAAGTATTCAATTACTAAAAACGTGGACAGCACTGTCCTTGCAGCCTTCACTAAACATCAAGATATTACTGTTCATTGGGACAAAGCATCCATAATTAGGACAGCCGACAACAAACAAGTACTTAAGCATATTGAAAAACTTGAAATTTATAAGGCGCATATTAACAAAGGATGCATCAACCATAGAGACGCAGAAAGTCTATCCTGCGCATGGAAATCTTTTTACCATGACGATTAATTTTTATTTTTTATTTAATTTCATTTGTTACCACGATTAATTTCTTAATATTTTATTTATTTTATGTTTTATTTACGTTTTACGTAATTAATTTTAATTTTTAAACCGTTGTATAGCTTACATTCTATTTTACGTTCGTTTTCCGTTTTAAAGTTCGTAACTGATGAAGACTATTAAATATAGTCGAAAACGTTTTTAATTTATTAAATACGTTGCTGGAAATAGTAAGGTGGTTTGATTATTTTATTTTAATTACATTCCAGTAAGTTATTTTATTTTATTGGAACACACACAAATATAAATGCTTCAAAGGAAGACAGCCAGAGTTATTACAACAGGAAAGGAAGCCACTCTAT